AACCTCCCCAGCTCAAGCAATCTTCCTGCCTCAGCCTCCTGAGTAGCGAGGACTACAGGAATGTGCCACCATGCCTGGCTTTTTAATAAAATTTTTGTAGAGACAGGGTCTCACTATGTTGCCCAGGCTTCTCTCGAACTCCTGAGCTCAAGCAATCCTCCTGTCTCAGCCCCCCAACATGCTGGGATTACAGGCATGAGCCACTGTGAATGGCCTACTTTAATGAATCTTACTGATAAAAGCCCATCCATGCATCCATACACTAATACTTACAAGGCATAGAAATACATACAACAGGACTACATACACACATACATATGTATATATATGACAGCTTCCCTGCACTCAAGAAGCTTGTGTTGTCTTTTAAGAAAATGAAATGTATAGGAAAAACTGTAATTCATCTTTGATTTATATAAAAATATGTCATAAGGTAATAAAGAAGAGAAAGCCCACCCAACTGAGAAGGCATGGAAGAGAAAATAACAAAGTCCCAAGAACGTGCAATTTGGGAAGGTGACAGATAGTTCTTTGACAAGTGGAAAATGTCCCTCTGAATTCTGTAACAGTGTAATCTCTGGAAGTAGTAATTTAATTGGATAGTTGACCTGCGTCTTTGGAACCTAATATTCCTTATTTTTTGCCTCTAGATACCGACTCATTGGTTCCTCGTCCGCCACATGCATCATCTCAGACAATACTGTCATTTGGGATAATGAAACACCTATTTGTGAGAGTGAGTTGAAATATCCCTTCCTATTTCTTTTACTGACACATTCTAATTTTTCTCTGGAATAATAAAAACCTTAACCGAATTCCTTCTGTGCAATCTGTCCTTCACATGGCTGAAGACAGCGGTAATGTTCTCGAATATTCCTACGGCGTTCCTGGCAACCCTTTCCTTAAGTTCTTCCTTATCCTGGGATGTGTCTTTTCTAATTCTGGGGGCTTAAATACATAAAATCCTTCAAACTTGATTCTACTTCAATAAATTTGAAATTACGGTGGTTCTACCACCTCCAGTATAATAATCATCCTGCTTGGCGAATCAGTAAAGATTTTTAACATTTATGCTCTTCAAGGTTAGTGAAGCTGTGGAAGAACCTGGACTCTCATGCATCACGAGGTCAACACATCCTCTCGAAAGGCACCATGCACTATTAACCTCAGAAGTGGGCATATATTTTAACCTACTTCTTAGAATTTATACTTATGAAATAATCACACACTTTTTAAAGCAGTTTGGTATAAACTTTTCATTGCAGCATCATTTATATTAGTTAAAATCTTAGAGCAACCTAAATATTTTAAACTATGGTTTGGAAACAATCTACTAGGAGGAAAAAGATGTGTTCAAATGACCACTATAAAGAATTCCCGAAGAAACATAAAATAGCTACGCAGAATGGAAAAAAGTATATCCATACACTGGCATGGTATTCAGCCATAAAAAAATGATAGCATAAAGAAGCACTTAATGACTAGAAAGAGATGTGTTTTATGTGGGAAAAGAATCAGATGAACAGCATGTATGGCAAGATCTCATTTTATTAAAAAGTAATACACCTATGTAGTGGAGGGCCAGGCTGACGCTCAGTGAAATATAGTGTATAACATCTTTGTCTTACTCTTCTCTTTAGATAACTTGAAGACTTTACTTTTCTTCTTGGTATTTAAAAATGTTGTTCCTTTTACTAGAAAGTTTATGAGCTTCAGAATCTAAATTTACAAATGACATTGGTCACACATTTGTCTCTGTTTATCCACTTTAAGAAACAGTTTTGCTGTTTTGTAAAACAAATTGGGAAACCTTCCATGTTATTTGAAATCTATAATAAGATAACATGGAATTGGAATAGGAATTTTCTTGGAAATATGAAAAAATAGTAAAATAGAGAAAACAAAAAATATAATAATACACCTATACCTATATTTATGTTTTTATCTCTGTTTCTAGTTCTGTAAACTCTCTATATCTAAATCCTGGTAAATGACTTCAAGTCTTCTTGGAGAAGCCTAGGGGAAGATTTACAATACATGCTTTTGACTGTGTAGCAGGTGCTTCCTCAAAAGAATCCAGTCTCCCATCCATTCGTGCTGCTCTGGGTCTATAAACTGTTCAAGTCTAGGAATTGTTGATGAACAATGAACTTCTTTTACAATAATTCAAGTCAGACTTCTATTCACTTGACCTAAATCTCTTCTGCTTATACAAATCAAATAACACTTTAGTCGGCTATCCATCTACTTCGGTTTTAGAGACTCCATGATCAATTAGCCCAGTAACAATATTCTCTTCAGTCAAATCATTCTGATTGCTGTTTCGGCTCTAATATCCATTACAAGAACCCCCATTGTCTCTGGCAATTAAGTGCTGCCACTTGGACTCTGCCACCCTGAGGTCCTTTGGTCCCCAAGTGAATTCAGAGAACCCAGTTCAATGGCAACACTTCCCATTGTCATTCCTGCCCTGCAGAGAATGAGCCATGGCAGAGGATGCTGAAACTCCCCATGTGAATGTATTCCTCAAGCCTCTGGTAAAAGGTCTATCTTCTGAACCCTCCACTCCTGCACTGTGCCTCACCAGCTCTATCCAAAGATGACCTTCAGAGTGGAATGGCTGTTGCTTAACTTCTGCCTCTCAAATATCAGGCTAATTTCTCATGCTGTAACCCTAGTCCAGAACCATATAGAGAAACTAAGTCTGGAAAACTTAATTCCAAATTGGCCTGGTTGACGCTATATAAAACCCCCAGATAATTATAATTTTATTTAACTCTTTGTCTTCTTTTCTTTCCTTCCCTCCTTCCCTTCTGCCTGCCTGCCTTCCTTCTTTGCTTCCTTTCTCCCTCCTTCCCTCCCTTCCTCCCTCCCTTCCTCCCTCCCTTCCTTCCCTCCTTCCCTGCTTTCCTTCTTCCTTATTTTCTTTCTTCTTTACCACATGGCTAGGATCACCAGTATAACATTGAACATTGGTAGCAATAGGTGTCATCCTTGTCTTGTTCCACATCTCAAAGGGAAAGATTAAAACATTTCACCATTAATCTGGTATTTACTGTAGGCTTTTTGTAGATAATCATTTTTGAATTAAGGACATTCTCACATATTCTCCATTATTAAAAGTTTTTTGTCTTTGAATCATGTTGAAGTTTATCAAACACTTCAGTTACATGTATCGATGTAATTATATCTGTTTCTCTTTTTTCTGTTAATGTAACAAACTGTTTTGAGTACATTTTTGAAAGGCAAATAATTTTGAATTTCAATTTTACATTCTTAAAATAAACCAACTTGGTCATAA